GAGATTTTGAGTGAGATTGAGAGGTTCTATGGGCAGCTGTACACATCATCGTTGGAGCCACACGCAAGTGTGAGTAACGATCCAAGAGCAAGTCTTATCCGACACTATTCCGATGATATCCCGGACGTCAGTCTAAGCGAGATTAGAATGGCTCTCCAGCACCTTAAAAACGGCAGGGCCCCAGGCGAGGATGGAATTACAGCGGAGCTTCTGAAAGCGGGTGGAACACCGGTACTTGAAGTCCTTCAGAAGCTCTTCAATTCCGTCCTCCATGGTGGCACTACTCCAGAGGCGTGGAGCAGAAGTGCGGTGGTCTTGTTCTTTAAGAAAGGCGACAACGCTCTCTTAAAGAACTACAGACCGATTTCCCTTCTGAGCCGCGTCTACGTGCTGTTTTCGAGAGTCATTACGAATCGTCTCGCACGCAGACTTGACGACTTCCAGCCTCCCGAACAAGCCGGTTTCCGAAAAGGCTTCAGTACCATAGACCACATACATACCCTGCGGCATATTGTACAGAAGACTGAAGAGTACAATCTGCCACTTTGCCTGGCGTATGTGGACTATGAGAAAGCCTTTGATTCCGTCGAAATTTGGGCGGTGCTACAGTCCCTTCAGCGGTGCCAAGTTGACTGTCGGTATATCGAAGTGCTGAAGTGTTTGTACAGTAGGGCTACGATGGCTATCCGAGTACAGAACCAGAGCTCGAAACCTATCCAACTGCAGAGAGGTGTAAGACAGGGTGATGTTATATCCCCGAAACTCTTCACCGCTGCATTGGAAGACGTTTTCAAGCTACTGGACTGGAAAGGATACGGTATTGACATCAATGGCGAGTACATCACTCACCTTCGATTTGCCGACGATATAGTCCTTATGGCAGAATCGCTGGAGGACTTAAGCACTATGCTCAATGACCTCAATAGTGCCTCCCAACGGATAGGTCTTAAGATGAACATGGACAAAACAAAGATCATGCTCAATGTCCATGTCACACCTATGCCGGTAGTTGTTGGGAGCACTATGCTCGAAGTTGTTGACGAATACGTTTACCTGGGACAAATAGTCCGACTAGGTAAGTCCAACTTCGACCGAGAGGTCAATCGACGGATTCAACTCGGCTGGGCAGCGTTCGGGAAATTACGGCATATCTTTTCGTCAGGTATACCTCAATCTCTAAAAACTAGATTGTACAACCAGTGCGTGTTGCCAGTGATGACTTACGGATCTGAGACGTGGTCCTTCACTGCTGGCCGTATGAGGACGCTTAAGGTCGCTCAGCGAGCTATGGAGAGGGCTATGCTCGGAGTTTCTCTGCGTGATAGACTCAGAAATGAGGATATCCGCAGTAAAACCAGAGTGACCGACATAGCCCAACGGATTAGTAAGCTGAAGTGGCAATGGGCCGGCCATATAGCTCGAAGAACCGATAACCGATGGGGGAAGAAAGGTTCTCGAGTGGCAGCCTCGTACCGGTAGGCGTAGTGTAGGGCGACCCCCCACTAGATGGAGTGACGACCTGGTAAGACATGCAGGAAGTCGATGGATGCAGGTGGCTCAGGACCGTGCTTTGTGGCATTACTTGGGGGAGGCCTATGTTCAGCAGTGGACTTGTGAAGGGCTGTAATGATGATGATGAGGTTCCTCGGTTAAAACTAACATCGTGTCCTGGAGGAAAATAGCTACTTACGATTTGACAGCGTTTACCGCTTACGATCGCCATTTTGCTTACAAGCGCTTGCTAGCGCTTTTTTCTGCCAAACGCACCCATCGTTCTCCTGTTCTCTAACCTTCATGGATTATATTATTAAAATGAAACAAAACTGATTTGTTGCAACTATATAAATGTTTTTTTTAAATCTTCCAAAAGCGTGGATTGTATAAATTGCAAGCATTGAAAGGAACATTTTGTTAGTATTATTAACTTGTATTAGTTTTAAATTGTATTAAGGTGTCGATTGATTTGTAATTTTTTTATTTGGGCAGGGAATTTTTGAATAATCAGATTATTTATTTCGTCGAGAGTATCATTCCTAGGCGACACTATTGCTCTAGAAAACAACCAATAAAAGTCCTTTTCGTGCAAATTCTCAATGTCAGGGTATACTGCATCTATTAAAATTTCTAAATTATGGACTATTCGGCCTAGAGACTCGTCCAGAAGGACGTCACAGTTTCTACTTAAATTTGTAGTGGGAAAAATTTCTTCCCCAAGTTTTAGCAGTTGCTGTGGGAAAGCACTGTCTGTGATTCCATGAATATGAGCGCTCATATTTGTCCGTAATTTTAAATTCGAAATCGAAGTCCATAAGGGAGACGATTTGAAGCATGCTTTGATGACATCTGCTCGAGAACTTCTGTTAATGACGAGAAGAGTCTGTCGGAAATCTCCTGCAAATATAAAATGATCCCACCCATGAGAGCAGAGGAGTTTCTAAGATCTTTTAAGGTTCTGTCCACGGCCTCTATATGTGATCTACGGCTCGTGGTACATTCGTCCCACATAAGCAACGAGGCGTCTTGTAGTAATTAACCAAGAAGACTATTTTTGCGGATAGAACATGTAGATTGTTGCTCAAGAGTTACGTATTGCAGAGGTTTAAAAGTAGAATGAGCAGCTTTTCCATCCTTTAAGAGAGTTGCAGCAATTTTTGATGAAGTAACTGCTATCGTTATCTTCCCCGATTGTCGTGCAAGTATCAAATGGGGAGCGTGAACTTCGAGAGATACATCAACACGGATGGTTGCTAAATTAACAAAGATTTTAAAAGTGAAAAATTTTACTTAAATTACATGGATAAAGTAATTGTTGGTGATGGATGGTAAAAGCACTGATGTAGCCTTGAATAAGAAGTGATTAATTTGAATATATATATATATATATATATATATATATATATATATATATATATATATATATATATATATATATATATAGGTACGAATAATGTGGTCTAGTTTGTACCGGCGTTACTATTGCATATTTTAACATGAAAAAGTAGTTATTTTGACATAACTGTAATAGTTAGATATATGATATCACGGACTTTTGTAGATATTGATATTTTCTATAAAAATGTAGTAGTAATTTGCTTTATTGTCAATCGTTTCCGCAGCGTACGCGATATATGGCATTTTTTTTGGTATTTTTTCACACCGTGGGTTACATTAACGAAGTTTTCATACGGGTCCCTAATTTTTTTGAAAAAATACTGTAGCCTACGTTTATTAGGGATAAATTTTTCAAATCGGTCAGTAGTCTTGGAGCCTATTCAATTCAAACAAACACATTTTTCCTCTGATGTAGATGTAGATAACTCCGATGAAGCTAATGACGCATTAGTGTTTTTATTGGTCGGTATAAACACAACATGGGAAGTATCTGTGGCGACATGCACCTTTTTATTTTGTTTATGTATTGAACGTCGCACACGCCGACGCGATGTTCGTGTCGGTTGCTGTCGGGAATGCTCGGCGACATTCGGGTTGCTTTCGTGACAGCCCGGGCGTCTTCGTTTTTCCCAGCAGTCTGCATTGAAAAGGCCTCAGAGTTAGACCCCACGCTTTGAGCCGCCGGAGCAACGGTTGCCGTTCAAATCGCATATATCTATTTTTGGCTTGCATATTTTAAATTCTTTTGTACGTTTAATTAATTGTATTTAGTCTTAATTTCTCTTGTTTGGTGCTGTAATATCTGTGTTGCAAACTGTCCTTGTGTGAAAAGAAAATATTATATTCTTGGAAGAGTGAAAGGCATCATTGCCCAGCTTAACCTACTACAACTGGTGACCCCGAGAAGAACATAGCATACAAAGAAGATCTAAAATGTGGCAAGAGGTTAGCACGGACGCAACTAAAAGCAGCACTAGTGGCAGTGAAGCTGTACTTTGCCGAGTAGGCATTAAGATGCCGCCATTTTGACCCGAGAAACCGACGCTTTGGTTTGCACAGGTGGATTGCCAAATTGCATTAGCGAATATTACATCGGATTTCACAAAATATTATCATGTTATATCGGTGTTAGATCCGAAAATTGCTGCGGAAGTCGAAGATCTAATAATTAGACAACTGGCGAACGAGAAATACGACACACTGAAACGTGAGTTAATTGCCATCTGCTTCAAGAAGCGAGCAAATTAAGCAGTTGCTCATGAATGAGAAATTGGGAGATCGCAAGCCGAGCCAGTTTTTGCGACATATTCGTAGTTTAGCTGGATCAGGGTTCCCAGATGAGTCCCTGCGAACCTTATATTTATTACCTATGCAAGATAACCTACCACTGGACCAACTCTAAGTAGCTGGCCACGCCCCAAATGTCAGCACAACAAGTAGCTACCACATCCAATTCATGCTCGCCTCCAGCATTCGAAGACCTAAATCGGAAGATTGATGCGCTGACCAAGAGGCTTGATGAAATGTCGACACCAAGCAGACGTCGTGACTTGCCGCAGTCAGTCGAGAAGTCTTGCTCGCGCTGAGGGCCAGCGATACTGCTGGTACCACTTCAATTACAGCGAGAAAGCAGCTAAGTGTATAAAGCCTTGTACTTATTCAAAAAACTAGTTGAGCGGTCGCTCTCTGCGACCGCTAATGAGTGTAAGTCGAACGCTAAACGTTTGTTTGTTACTGACGCTAAAAGTTGCAGTTTTTAATCGACACGGGATCTGACTTGTGTGTCGCAACAAAACTAATTACGAGCTCTTTGCTGCAAATAATACTGTAATTGCTACATATGGTTGGTTAAGTTTATGTTTAGATTTAGGTTTAAGGTGTGCATTTTCTTGGCGTTTTATAATAGCTGATGTGAGCAAGCCGATAATAGGTGTAGTCTTTCTATCCTTCTATAACTTACTTGTTGACGTGCGTAATTCGCTATTAATTGATAATTGCACTTCGCTTATATCAGTTGCCTCGATTGCATTTGCTTTCCCGTTCCCTACATAAAGGTCATTTCAGGTCATACATCGTTCCATCGGATACTCCAAGAATATCCTGATATAATGCGGCCGGTCGGAGCTCCTTTGGAGCCGAAAGTCAAGCACCATACGCAGCATTATATCAGAACGACTCCAGGCCCACCTGTGTGTTCGCGACCAAGGCGACTAGCACCTGACCGTCTTAAAATTGAGAAACAGGAGTTTGAAGAAATGGTACGTACGGGTATTGCGCGCAGGTCTGAGAGCTCATGGTCGTCATCTCTCCATTTAGTGCCTAAAAAAGGCGAAGGTTGGCGACCCTGTGGGGATTACCGTGCACTCAATGTTCGCACAATACCAGATCGATACCCAGTACGCCATATTGCTGACTTTTCACTCAATCTATTTAATTGTAAAATTTTTAGTAGATTGGACTTAGTTCGAGCGTACCATCAAATACCGGTTGCGATTGAGGATGTAGAGAAAACCGCTATTACGACACCCTTCGGACTATTTGAGTTCCCACTGATGAATTTTGGGCTTAGGAATGCTGCCCAAACCTTTCAGCGTTTCATGGACAAGGTCATCAGGGGTCTCGAGTTCTGCTTTGCGTACATCGATGACGTATTAGTTGCTTCCGCTAATGAAGTGGAGCACCAGGAACATTTATGTGCGGTATTTTCGCGTTTTAGCGAATACGGTATTTTATTAAATACAAACAAGTGCGTATTCGCCGTGCCGCAGGTGGAGTTTCTGGGCTACCTGGTTTCTTCAGAAGGGACTAAACCGGTTGGTGATAAGGTGAAGGCTATTCTTGACTTTCCCCTACCTAAAACTATTAGGGATCTTAAGCGGTTTTTAGGAGCATTAAAATTTTATAGACGCTTTATACAGGATGTTGCCAAGCTTCAGGCTCCTCTCCATGCACTACTTAGTGGTCCATCGGTGAAGAGCAACAGCAACCTTAACTGGACTGCTAACCTAGAAAGCGCTTTTAATGCTTGCAAAGCAAGCATTGCTAACGCCGCTCTTCTAGCTCATCCAGATTCGTCTGCTCCGTTGGTCATAGTAACTGACGCATCCAATTCCGCTATTGGTTCAGTCTTGCAGCAGAAGTTGCTAGGTCATTGGCAGCCGTTATGATTCTTTTCGCGTAAGCTTTCGCCAACACAAGTCAAATACAGTGTATATGATCGTGAACTCTTAGCTATTTACGAATCAGTAAAATATTTTCGACATTTTGACATTTTGACAGATTGAATTAAAACCATTCTTTATACTGACTGATCATAAGCCGATTATTTCAGCTTTTAAGAAAGCCCGTGACGCTTGCTCTCCGCGACAATTTAGGTATTTAGATTTTATAGCCCAATTTACAAGGGATATCCGTCACATTACCGGGAAAGACAACGTTCTCGCGGATGCGTTATCAAGAACGGATGCAATAACACGCTCGCTAGACCCTATTGCCTTAGCAGCTTCTCAGGATACGGACCCAGAACTCCAAAATATCTTGAGAACTGTTTCATCTCTTAAGTTACAGAAGGTCTGTATTGATGGTACGAAAATCTTCTGTAACATATCGGGGCCCAGCCAGACCATTCATAACACCTGCATTCCATAAAATGGTTTTGACAATATTCATGGACTTAGTCATCCAAGTGCTAGGGCTACTATCAAATTATTGACAGAGAGGTATGTATGACCTGGCATTAGGAAGGATTGTCGGAATTGGGCGCGCTCGTGTATCTCATGCCAGAGATCGAAAATATCGAGACACGTACGCCCATATCCAGGATTTTAAGCTTCCTTCGGCCCGATTTTCTCACGTCCACGTAGACTTGATAGGTCCACTTCCCGTCTCTGATGATTACCGATACTGCTTCACAGCTATAGATAGGTTTACTAGGTGGCCGGAGGCAGTGCCGTTACAGGACATCAGAGCGGAGAGTGTAGCAAAAGCTTTTATTTCATCGTGGATATCACGTTTTGCTTGCCCAGAGAAGGTAACCACAGATAGAGGGAACAGTTTGAATCCCATCTTTTTAGTCAGATATCAGCGCTTATAGGTTCACGACATAAACAAACTACTGCGTATCATCCTGCTGCCAATGGTCTAGTGGAGCGTTTCCATCGACAACTTAAGGCAGCTATTATGTGCCACGCAGACGAAAGCTGGACTGAGAAACTTCCACTTGTACTTCTGGGTATTCGTAGTGCATGGAATGACGACTTGTCTGCTTCTACTGCTGAACTAGTTTACGGAGAAATGCTTAAGTTACCCGGCTACTTGTTTGAACCGACTGCTGACAAACTGACCGATTACACCGACTTTCTGGACAGGTTGCGTTTACATATGAAAAAGTTATAACCTACAATAGTTACTCGACACGACACGCGTAAAATCTTCATTTTTAAAGACTTATCGACTGTTTCACATCTATTTTTACGACAGGACTTTGTACGGAGATCTTTGCAACCACCTTATACCGGCCCGTATAAGGTAATAGAGCGCGGTGAAATTTTTTTCAAAATTGACGTTGCTGGTAGGATAGACAACGTCTATCGACAGGCTGAAACCGGCCTATATTCTGACGGAAGAACCAGGTAGTTTTGGTGCGTCGTCGACTGTGCCTATGACGCATGGGGCTAACGCTACTCCTGATGGTACAAGAGCACTTCCAACTCCTACGCAATTAAGAACGTCTCGCTGCGGTCGCCGAGTACGATTCCCTGATTTTTATCGACCCTAAAGGTCTCCGGGGGGGCTGATGCTGATGACTTTGTTTATATATTGAACTTCGCACACGCCGACGCGATGTTCGTGTCGGTTGCTGTCGGGAATGCTTGGCGACGTACGAGTTGCTTTCGTGACAGCCCGGGCGTCTTCGTTTTCCCCGGCAGTCTACATTGAAACGGCCTCAGAGTTAGACCCCACGCTTTGCGCCGCCGGAGTAACGGTTGCCGTTCAAATCGCATAAATCTATTTTTGGCTTGCATATTTTAAATTCATTTGTACGTTTAATTAATTTCTCTTGTTTGGTGCTATAATATCTGTGTTGCAAACTGTCCTTGTGTAAAAAGAAAACATTATATTCTTGGAATAGTGAAAGGCGTTTCCATCATTGCCCAGCTTAACCTCCCACATATCCATAGCCAACTTTTTGATTAAGGATACGAGCGCTGAATTAAAAGCACGGCTAGTAACACAAGCTTTTTATTTTGTTCACGAAACTGGCATTGAATAAAGGCGTTGACATGTGATGGTACAAAACCAATCTCGCCATGGCGGAAAAGTCGGGCTGCTTTTAGGTCAGCACTTGTAACCTTTCTAAGAAGTACCCAATGGGTACTTTACAAGAAGTATTAATGCATATTAACAAAAATGATAAAGCATCAGTAGCGTTCCCCGAATTGTCAGAAATGAAGTCAAATCCATAATTATCGTTACCAAAATGTCTTTTAGAACTTGCATGGTACTCCGTCAATTGTTTTATTTTCATTTCATCTATCACTAATATACAATACAATTTATTATCACGGTTACTCTCTAGTCTAAGTTTTAAAACAGTTAACGCTTTTTGTGCCACGTCGGCCATCAATTGTACTATACTACTTTGTTATAGTGCGTTATTCAAGCAGACATATTTTAAAGCTTTTGATATTTCGCAAATATTATTATGCTTTCGGTGAATAGTAATGTAAAGTTAAAGCAAAACATCTTTCTGAGGAATACTTAGCCCTAAGTAAATGTCACGTTTCATTTTTAAGCAGCTGTCTCTTTAAAGTTGACTTTGTTCAACTATTATATTTTGTAAAACTACTTTATTTTCCTAATTTGATAAATATTTTCCAGATAGTTCATTTAATAACTCTTGAAAGTCAACATTTTTTAAATAGCGGTTTTGTGATTGAAGCCTTATAATAAAAACAAAAACTTAGTTAACACCATCTAAGACGATAAACTGATAAGACTTTTCTTTTTGCGAATCTGATTTTTAAAATAAGTTAACTAAACCACCCTATTCGATTTGTTATACGTTTTAAATTTTATCCTGCGTAATGTAAAATAAACCTGTAGCAAAATAATAAACTTACTTTCAATAATTTTAAAGTTTTTTTCCGAATAAAATTTTTAAATAATTTAAAAAAATAATTTCAAATAACACCTTGGTATTATTTATCTCTGTATTATCTATAATCAAATAAAAACATATTATGCAGACTATGGCGATCTGTTAATCGATAAAAAATATCGACGTAGTCCACGCCCTACGTTGCTTACGCATCTGGACAGCGGCAACAATGTATCGACACGCGAACAATTTGATGGTGTGCGTAAATACAATGAACACAAACACAAATGCTACAGTGTGCGTTTATTGTGACGCGATTTAATTGTGTGTTTTTCTTGCGCCCCTGATGTTGACAGAATTTTTGTTTAGGAATTAACGGGCATGACCTCTCCAGTTGATTGAATACTCAAAGTTGCTAACTTTTTAAGTGGTACGTCGTTATCAACCAAATCGAAGCCTTTTTGAAATCAAAATAAGCGACGGCCACTTGCATTCCACCGACACGATATCAGTCACGTAGTTCAGAAGGTTGTTTGCGGTACTCCGTGCTGATCGAAAGTCGTACTGAGCATCTGTCAGCTGGGCGCTTACCTATGAGAGTACATTCTTATGTATAGTAGACTCTAACATTTTCGCCAGTGTTGACAGGACAACTACAGGTTTGTATCCCTCTACTTTAGTTGATAAACCTTTCTTAGACACCGGCACGACTCCTGGTATTTCCACCTCTCCGCGGACTCAATGCAAAGGTTATATATTATGTGAAGTAGAGGTTCAGCCAACACTTCCCTACAGTCCCTAAATACGTAGGGAGGTATGCCATCCGGTCCTACGGCAGACGTAGGCTTTAACCGCGGTAGTGCACCTCCAACCTCTAGTTTTAAGCGGTATAGATACACGCGCGCACCACCACTACCTCCAGCAGCATTAATGATAGTCGCGTTCACTTCTAAGTCTGCCTTTTCGTACTATACACCAAGTGGAAATAACTTCGCGAATTCTTAAACAGTTTGTTGACCATTTACCGCCTCTCCATCCTGTAACATAAAAAATAAAGCGTAATTATTATTACTTGCTTAATTGTTTTAAATCAGCCAAACACATAGAACGTAAGTTATGCTTACCTTATATCAAGATCAATCAAACTAGCAGTACACCTGATGGAAAGTGACTACCTGCAGCCCACTGGGGTTCACAGCGCTAAAAATAAAATAAAATACCTCAGTATCAGTATTTAAATCACATCACATGTTATCTACTTCTTCAGATCATAGAAAAAACTAGTTTGTGGCGGCGCTGTCGTCGCGCCACAAGCGAAACACATCGAAGACAAATCGTGCTATCAAAGTTCCGAAGTAAAAGCAGTATATATAAAATAGCTCCGAACTATCACACGGAGCGTTAGCCATTCCCCGGGCAGAACACCTTGCCCGGCGGGAGATCGCGCCTTTTCCTTCCACGGTCACAAGTTTTTTTTTTAAATTATGTATTTATTTTTAACATACCACGTTTTCTTCATATTCCTATATTGTCATCCGATTCTGAGCTATGTTCAAAGTTTCAAGCTTCTAGCTCATGTGGAACTTAGTTTAAAATCAATTACTAAATTCCACCCGAACAGACATATGCAGTAGCGTGGTTAGGTTACCACCATCCATTGCAACCTATAAAACTCGATTGCCTCACAGGGGGGTGTTTACGACAGCTGCCACGCTGACGAGCGCGTTTTTTATTATTTTGAGCTGTTACCAGTAAGACGCTGCTGTCCACCACTTGTTCAATTTCCCTCTGTCGCCTCTCACGACGCCCACAGGACTACATGGGGTAGTGGATATTCATACACCAACTGGTCTTAAAAAAGAAATAATATTTTTTCAGGGCTGTAACCTGTCAATATAAACTTGGAAAGTAAAATTAAGGTAATACAAGAAGTATTAGAATAAATTATTGTTTCGAATTCTGATTATTCTTTCTTGTACCGCCCGGTAACGTAGAATGAATAATTTTTCTAACAAACTGTAATCTCTTACGCAGAATCAGCAACGTGATGTTATGTATATGACAACC